GGATCAGCAGTAGTAGCAGCAGTAGCAGTAGCAGGCATTGCCTCTAAATTGCAACTACCATGACTAAGAATGCTAGTGACATTCGATCCTTGCATCTAGAAGCTGGCAGTCGTCCCGAACTAGTCTAGCTGATGCATTTTACATTGCGGCTGCCAGAAACCTACACCCGAAACCGTAAACCATACGGTTTCTACTTTACGAGTGTGGTCAAGCCCGAAGCATTCCATCATGAGACTGAGGCGGGTGCCACTCCCACTTCTGATCCAAGCTCTGGTGACAAGGCCTCATGGGCCGGCTTACGTGTTCGAGCTTGCCTTAAGCCTGAAGAACCTACCTTTTCAGGGTTCCTTATTATGGTTTCCTTGCATAAGTCCTCAAAAAGGTAGGTTCTTCAGGGTTAAGGCGGGGTTCAGGGATCTGGCATTTTTGAAAGGATGTAGTTGTGGTCGAGGGTTCAATTTCAGCATGCACGAGGCGCATCCAGCGAAGAATGCGATGCTCGCGGCAGAATGCTAAGAACCGAACGAAGCATTGGATTTTCTCGAAACACCAAACTCAGGTTCCTGTGCATAACCACACCTAAACCCTAAACCCCTAAAAAATTGCTAAATGATAAACGCACCCTAAACCCTAAACCCGTAAAAAAAAAACCATAAACGCCCCAGAAATCCGATCTGAAGCAGGTTCAAGGGGCAGGTTTGGTCGGATGTCGATGGCAGGCTAGGGAACTTCAACACTTCGGGCCAAGACTCCGAGCTCATTTAGGGTTTAGGGTTTAGGGTTTAGGGTTTAAGGTTGTCAAAGTTATGGTCCCTTTGTGGGTCCCTAATATAGTACGGCAGCTATTATTTAAGGTACCCGAAACGGGACCCTAATTTAGACAACCACCCATATAGTACTTGGAGGTCCATAGGTAGTTATAAGTGGGGCTATAAGTAGGGTAACTATTCTTATAACCCATATTGGACTTATAACTGTACTTATAACTGCCGATGAACCTCCAAGTAGAAGTCTCAACAAAGGTGAATAGTATTGCTATGTATTCAAGCGGGCGGCGGGGGGTGCTTGTTTCATGCGAAGCCCTACAACGCCACACTTGTTACCGGATGTCTGGGTCCCGGGTTTTGGACCTAGGGCTTTGCACAAGCATTGGAGACCGTCAAGCGACTTCGTCGACCCGAGCAAACTCAGAAAAGTCCAGCACGAGCCTAGACGCCAAACATACCACAGAACCCCCTATGAACCCATATAGATCCCTCGAACCGTACCCCGTATGAACCCATATAGATCCCTCGAACCGTACCCCGTATGAACCCATATAGATCCCGCAAACCGTAACCCCGATGAACCCATATAGATCCCTCGAACAGCCCTTAATATGCCGTTAGCTTTCCCAAAGGGTCCAAGTATCATGCTGGTATATACTTATAGGGCATTTTGGGGGTCTAAGTATGTCCCATGATGATACTTGGGCCCTTTGGGTTGATAAGCTGGCGAAGATGGCCAGCTCGCAATGCCACGGGAGCCCGGCCCGATCCGCAGAGCGTAGGGGATGCTGGCAAGGGGCAAAGAGATCAGGGCTTAGGGCTTAGGGTTCATAGTTTTAGGGGATTTAGGGGATTCAGGGCTTAGGGGTTTAGGGCTTATAGGGGCTAGGGTTCATAGGTTTAGGGGATTTAGGGTTTAGGGTTCAGAGGTTTAGGGTTAGGGTTGATGGGACTTCAGGGCTTGGAATTCAGGGTTTAGGGCTTGATGAGATTTCGGGCTTCAGGCTTGCAAGGTTAGGCCCGGTTAGGCTCATGGGAGTTCGGGTTTAGTACTTTGCAGGGTTTAGGTAGGTCCTGAGGTATCACTACCATCCCTTCTGGATGGAGGACTTTATGATGGCAAGGGACTACAGGAGGGGAATCGATCACAACTCAACAACATGAAACGTTGTTCGAGCATATTGGCAATCCTGTTGGTCAGGGCTACATTGGACTAAAGCCGCCTTTGTGCTTAGCAGTGGGCTTGCTTTCGTTGCCAAGGAAAAGGAACTTCGCATGTGCTCGATGATGTCAGCTTGTGGTGATAGCAATGACTTGGCCTAAGATCCCAGAACCCTAAACCCTAGGATCCCTAAGATCCCTAAACCCTAAACTCTAAACCGAAGTGAAAGGCAAGAAGCAATGGTAAGCTGCCGTGGGCAATACCGAGCGGAGGCTTCGATGACTTACAAAAAAACGAACATGCGAAGCGTTGTCTCAAGATGTCCTGAAGTCTACATGAGGTTTTGTCCTCAAGGGCGGAAATGGCGAGTATGAGGCTGGTTGTAAGCACCTGCAACATACAGTCTTCTAGATAATCCCACATACTTAAACAGGATATAGAAATAACATAAAATTCTAAACAACGTCTGCAAAGAACCAACATGGGCTTCAAAAGCTATGCAACTGAAATGTCCAGGGTCTGCCCTGTCCACGTGATGTGAAGCCTAAGCTGCGTCCGACTTATGATTATGGCCTGCAACCAGAAACGGGATTGATGGGCTGGCGCATACACAGCACCGACAAAAAGCATGGCCTTATAGAGCCTTAGGGTTGTATGGTAGGGGTTACATAAACTTAAAGCGGCTGACAACCGGTTGAAATGAAGTTCCACCTCTCTGCCTGAAAGCCCCAGAGGGTGCGAACAATACTAAAGCTGCATACTGTGTACGACCGCATCCCAAACCCCAAACCCCGGATCTCAACTCGTGGTTACCCAGGATGCCCAGAAACCTAGGAATAAAACGGGTCCCGTCTTTGGTATTGGTTACCTTTTTCAGGACCCTAGGACTACAAAAAGGGAAAACGGGTACTACTGGGCATCCGAGCTATTTATGCTACTTCAGACTGCGAAAGCTCATGATTGGCCCTACCACCTCACCATGGAAGAGTGGTCTTTGACGAGCACTGGCCTGTCGCCCATCTTGCTGGCAGCATGCAGACAATCATCCGAGCCTGCCGGAGTGACAATTGAGGTGTTGATGTATCGCAGGGGTCGGAATGATGACAAATACTCTTCCCGTGAAATCAGATATGTAATACTGTTTAAGAATCACACCCCCAAACCCTATTGAAAAACTACTACAATGGCCTCTAAGATGTATCCTGCCTTGCAGTTGCAGCCGGCCATCAGAGAGGATCCAGTGCTGCCGGCCCTCCGGGCTTAGGTTCAGACGGTTTGTGGGTTTAGGGGTTTAGGCACAGCCACCTGAACATGAAATGCACCATCACGAACGTGACCATCACCACCACCCATCACATGATTCTCGTGACTCTTAAGTGTGGCGGTGTTGCTTGTGGTAATTGCGGTGGTCGTGTCGCTACTACTGCTGCGGTGATGTTGGCGTTGTCTTTTGAACTTTTCTGGTAATGGCGGTGCTTTTCAGCCGCTGCTTGCGTTGTGCTGGTGGCCGTTCTGGTTGGTTCTGCTGGCTATGATTCTATCCCGCGAGGGGTATCAGAGCAAAAAAGTGTTACGGATCCGTGGCCCAGCCACGACTACAGTTGGGCGTCTCCCGCAAACCTATCTGTCCGTTCGAGATCCGCAAGCCCGGAATTGCAGCAAACCTGGCGATCAGACACCATACAGTTCATGGATGCATACACCCAGATAGCTCTCGGCTCTGACCAGAACAGGTATTTAGTATTCAGGGTCTGAGCAGCGCAACATAATGATCGCGCATTAGGGTTTAGGGTCATTTAATCTACTTTTTGGGTTTTACGGTTTTAATGATCAATGCCTCTGGATATCATCGTTTCTGCGACAGAAACGACTCATGTCACTCGACAGTGATAGTGAGTCGCGAACCATTCCAGCTGGGCTGTTGCACAATTGCACAACCCTTACCTTAACCTTGAAGAACCTATGTTTTTATGGCTCCTTATTTTGATTTCCGTATACATGTCCTTACAAAGGTGATGCCTTCAGGGTTAAGGTAAGCCCTCAACTCAAAGAGGGCGCTTCTCTGCACTTCTTTGTCTTGACAAATTCTGGTGGGCAGCGTCCACCTTACTGTAGACACCCGATCCGAACACGTGCCGGAACCAAAACGCTGAGGCAAACCCAATCTCAAACTTCAATGTGAGAGACGGTTCAATCTACATCTCAAAACTCTACATTTCGGGGTGTCCGAACATGAAGGGTACCTTATTTTGGGGTCCTTATAATAAGGATCCTACTATTTAGGGTACTATCTTAGGGTCGCCTTTTTTCGGAAACTCCCGTTTCAATCAGCCAGGCTGCAAGATCCATCCACGAAACTGATCTGAAAGATACCCACCCGAAGGGTCCAAGTACCTATATAGTATATGAAAGTAGTCCCTATATAGGTACTTTAGGACCAGAGTATCTAGTATATTGGGGGCCAGTCGGATCCAAACTGTGTGGGCCCAAAGGCGAGCGTTTTGCCTTTCGCATGACCGGTCGAACGTGAGCCTAACGCGGGATGGCGCCTGTTTGAGAGTACCCCCCAAATCTACAAGGGCAGGATGGTTGCTGTTTGAGAGCCTATACCCAAATCTACAAGGTCAGTACTTAAACTCTGAACCCTAGTCCCAAAGCTTTGTGCTCCTTTACACTGCGTGTGGTTGCCGTATCCCCCAGTAGGGGCTTCCAGAGGAGTTTCTCCCCGGTGCTTAATGAACTCAATCGCACCCTAGAGCCCTAACTGCAAGAAAGGGCTCCTGAACATCAACGGTCGTCGGTCGATACACAATCGACCCGAAAACCTAAACCCTGAAGCGCTAGGGCGAGGGCGGACCAGGAGCATGAGCACCCCTGCTTTCACGCTGATCACAGGAACGAGGCGGGAATTGATCAGGAGTCTGCACTAGTCTAATCTACGCCCCAAGCTTGCCCTACGCCTTGAACTCTGATGCCTATACCCCCAGGGCCTAAAACCTGAACCTTAGATCCTTAACTTATCCCCAAACCATCCTGCGCCGCAAACCCGAAACCCTAGCACACCAAGTGAATCAAAAGGTGCGTGCTGAAGTGACAAGTCGTCCTACTCCTGGGCCGCTCTTTGGCGAGGAATCATTCGGCGGAGTCGACTCTCCATCGGAGGAGCCTTGCTGATGAAGTGCTTTACGATGCTTCTGGGCCTTACTACAGTGAGTAATGGCTTTATCCTTAATTCAGGGGCTTGGTAGCGTTTGGTAGGATTGTCATATAGCTGCCTCGACATTCGAATCGGGTTTTGGGGTAATCTTATGCATGAGTATACAGGGGCTGCTGCGATGCAAGGTCCTTGTTTATAGCCTTATCACAGACAGAAGCAAGTCTTTTGACCGAACTTGCTGGGGCAAACTGAAAAAGACGCAGTTGCTTAACACTTCTGAAACCCCTTCAAAAATTACCTGTGAACGCGCCAAATCTTTCGGAAAATCCTGAAACACCCAGCAAACTCTTGCAAACTCTGATTAACTCCACCTGAAACCATATCAAACCTGATACCACCCCTGAACCCGAAACCCGAGAACCCTAAACCCTATTTAAACCCTAAACCCCTACATCCCTAAATCCCCGTTTAAACCCTAAACCCGTAAATCCCCATTTCAACCCTAAACCCCTAACACCCCCCCCGTAGATACGACCAGCGGCTCGTCTCCAGCTCTGGCTCGGAGGGCCGTCCACAGGCCGGTGGGTTCAGCAGGAAATCGTGGAGCACGAGGATTCTGAGCTCGGCTTGAGGTTAGGGTTTAGGGGATGGGGCTTAGGGATTAGGGTTTAGGGTTTAGTTAGGGCTCAGGGATTGGGGTTTAGGCATTAGGGCTTAGGGATTGGGGTTTAGGGTTTAGGGATGAGGGCCAATGATTAGGGTTTAAGGTAAGGGATAAGGGGGACTTGCAGCTCGGTTTGGCATGGCGGGCATTGGAGTTCTTAAGCGGTTTATCGTTTTGGGGTTATATAAAGGCTTAGGACAACGGGGTGTGAGGATTTCCGGTGCCGGATTTCAGTTTGGGTTTAAGGGCTCAGGGTTGTCTAGCATAAGGCTTTTTGCCCAAGACTACCAATCGCTCGCTGCTGAAGTAAAGGCCTTATGAAGCTCCATCAAAAGACCATGGAGCTCCTGTAAAGCCCTACAGCACTTTGCAAAACCAGACCTAGCGTGTTCCACCGCCAGTCAAGGGTTCCATGTGCGTTATGCTTCAGGGTGTTGGGGTGTTAAGGTTTACCGAGTTTTATAGAGTTTAGGGTTTGTGGTTTGTGGGTGTAGAGTATCGGGTTCAGAGACGTCCAAAGAAGCACGAGAAAGACGGTTACAAGCTAGGTAACGTACGAATGCAGATGCAACAAGAGTAACGATAAGGAGACTTGCTTTTCATCCCGTCCTTCAAGTACCACCCCCAAACCCCCGATCCTGCGCAAACCTTCGTACAAAGCCATAAAAAATGCTACAGGCCTCAAGCTCCGAGCTACAAGCCTCAAACAAACTAACACCGTAAGAACCTGAACTGTAACCCAGGGCTTTACTTGCCGAAGTCTAAAGAAAAACGCTGTAAGATCGCTATAGGATCTCAAAGCTTCCATTGAAGGATCCTAGGTAACTGATAACTTCGGGCTGCAGCGGCTTGGGGTTAGGCTCTGGGCTTCCGTCCAGGACTCTCAAAGCCCTGAAACCGAAAAGCACCAAATCGAAAACTTCGGTGTGCCTGAACCTTACATTCTAAGGGTCGGTGTCTTGGATTTTTCAGGCTGCAAGCTTTCAGACTTGGATGTTCTGTTGACACAGTACGGTATGTACGGTGCCTAAGATGCTTCGTCGGGGTTTTGCGCAGACGCACGAACTCAAGCAAGCCTCGAAGCAGAGCTCGATCTACAGCTTATTTGCAGTGTTGCTCGGCACAGGGGTTGAAGGTTTTATTCCAAGACACGACTGGGAAGCTCATCCTATCTCGCTATTCTCGCTGCATCCCTACGCTTTCAACTGTCAATTCTTCTGGCTGCGAGATTTTTCGAAGCCCTTTAAGACCCAACAAGTACTCTAAACCATAAACCGCTGAACCCTAAACCCCTAAACAAGTACCCTCTCCAGAATGCCATGGCGCAGAAATTGCACCGGCGCCACAAAACGGAACCGCCACTGCCTCGAGGCAGTCGATCCGAACAATCGAATTTAGGCTTCAGGGTTTAGGGTTTCGGGCTTAGGGTTTCCGGTTTTGTGGGTTTAGGGGTTTAGGCGTTCGGCTCGTTCTGAGTCGGGACTCTAGACCACTGGAGCAGAAGTAAAAACCATGAAAACACCAAGAAGCAGAGGAAGGCTCTCTTTTCCTGGCACTTGTGCCAGCAGAGATGCCTACCCAGAGGCCCCATAGTAGTTCTTTTTTGGGACTACCTTATAGGATTCTATATATGAACCCCAAAAAGGAACTACTTTGGGGCCTCTGGGTGAACTAGTATGCACCACTTCCCGGCATGGGACTTAAGGGCACAGGGCTTGTAGGGTCGCGTGGGTGCAGGCATAGGGACGCTCACGATCATAATCTTGCTACCAGTCATGATGCTTACATCTGTCTATTCGTACATGAGCATACACACGCACTCTCTCTCTCTCTCTCTCTCTATCTCTCTCTCTCTCTCTCTCTCTCTCTCTATCTCTCTCTCTCTCTCTCTCTCTCTCTCTCTTTCTCTCTCTCTCCTTCTCTCTCAGGTCTCACTCTCTCGCACTCTATGTATCTATATACTTTGCTGAGACATGAACACAACTGTCTTTAAAATGTATCGAGGCATATATATATATATGTATATATATATATATATATATATTATGTTGTACATACTTATATATATATATATATATATATATATATATTATGTTGTACATACTTATATATATATATATATAAATATATGTATACATACGTATGTATGTGTCTGAGCACGTGAAGCTAAGAGTTCTCCGATGGCAGGTGCCACTATCGCCGAAGCATGACTTCAGATCTCCCAGACGTTGAAGAACCGGCCGCTGATTTCGAGACGTACCCTCAACACAATAAAAGGGCCTGTAATCGCTAGAATTGGGGTATGGGTGTAGTATGACCCTACCAAGAAACCCTAAGCTACTGTGGAACAACATAGGAATCGCTCAGGCTCCATGTGACCTGATTCGTTAACAAACGAAATTAAAGGCTGGGAGCTTCGGGCTCGTGGTAATAGGAGGGCCTAATAATAATGAAAATAATAACTTTAATAACAATAATAATAATTACCCATACTGATACTATTTTGGGGGTTCCGTATGATAACTATTGTATAGTGGGCCCCAAAACCCTATTCATTATTAAGGCAGCAATATTTCAGCACAGATTGTGCAACTGAAAAAAACCGATACTCCGAAACTTCAGACCAGGTCGCCGTACTACTGTGATGGCCAATGGCTTGAGCAAGAGTGCTCAAATGCTCATGCTACTCCTACTAACACTGCTGTTACTACTCCTGCTACTGCTGCGCTGCTGCTCCTGCTCCTTGTACTGCAAGTGCTACCGCTATAGTAGTACGAGCAGCAACGGTCGCATCCACCTTTTCCACACTGTTCACACTCCACGAACCCCTTCCACACCCAAACCCTTCGAACCCATAACAAGGCAAGCTGTTGAAAAGACTGGCGAGGGCCTTTCCGGAGTCGTCAAGTACTCCACGGTAAAGCCTGGTTGTAGAAAACTCAGCACATAGAGCGTGCTGCTTAATGATCTTGCAGCTTATGATTTGCCTGAAGTTGTAGAGTTTAAAGACGCAAACTTCCCTGTGCAACTTGGGTACATCCGGACATTGCAGACTCCAGCCGGCTAAAAACTGTTGGGTTCAGTGAGTTTAGTACATAGGTTCGAAACAGGCCAAACGTCCAGATACTCCGGACTATACTGGAAGAGTGTTACCATGTTGCCGGCCCCTACAATAGTAGGTCCTCGAAGAGATCACGCAGCTATTATGGGCCAGCGCAGATCACAAAATGACAAACAGCTCTTCAATCATCACAACTCCGCAGCACTTGCTCCGTTCTGGTAGTCGAGCATGCATATACACATACGCATAATACCTACGTACATACATACATACGTCCGTGCACAACACACACACACACCCGCGCGCGCATGATCTCGCATGCAGATACCTGTACGCACGTTTTTGTACTTCGTTGCGCACCTAATAGCTAACTACTTAGTTTATTCATACCAAAGCTATATGGCATATACGAACCTGTAGCAGTGTGGGTATGGGTGTGCACTCTGTCGGTTCCGAAACTGAGATGTAGTGTTGACCGTGTGCCCGGCCTCCAACCAGCGCTCCAATGAGTGTCCACAGCGGCACGATCGCGGCAATTACCAGCGATGATTTCCTTCGCTGGCAGTGCTCATTAGCCCATTATTCCCTTGGCATCGTCCTCCTCCAGTTCATGCCTCTTACATTCCGCTCTTCCACCCTGTATGCAACCTCCGAGAACCCGAAACTCCAATATCGGGACTTAGGTTCATCAAGCTCCGAGCTTTTTTCCGTGAGGACAGGCGACATGGAGCCCTAAATGCTCCAACCCCAAAAGCGCCAAACTCACAACTTGCACAATGCACTGCAACAGCCTGAACATACAGTCAGGCTCGCAAGTTAAGGTTGACTAATAATTAAGATTCAACTGAAAGCTTCGAGTACGACGTGTGGCGGCTTTCCTGATTCCTCTTTCAGTTTACGTAAACATGTCTAAGCCTTGGTATTGAGCCACAAACCTTTGCCAATTTCGGTGCAGCTCAAGACTCAACCTAACCCTGGTGAGAACGCAAGCACCGACAAATCCTAAAGCACCTAAAATTATACAAAGGAACCAAAAAATCGTATATACTTGTAATTTAGGGCCCCTATAGTACATCACGGAGGCTGCGCACTGGTTCATTCATCTTCTCTCTTGTTGCCAGGGCTCTGCGATTCCGAAAGCGTGGCGGGACCATCAGTCAGTAGGGAGAACCTGCAGCTAATGATCTTTCGATTGTTCATTGGGGGCGTATCCCCCAAACCGAGTTTGACCCAGGCCCTGCGCGCTACCCTAAACCTTACCTTAACCCTGAATAACCTACCTTTGTAGGGTTCCTTATTATGATTTCTTTATATAAGTCCTTAAGCATGTAGTAAACATGTAGGCTCTTCGGGGTCAAGGTAGACCCTAAACCCGAAAAGCCGAAGCTGAGAAGTGTTTGCTCTGCAGGGCTGGCAGGGAAATCACACAGAAGCTCAGCGGATCTCAGCGGCACGGGTCCGACACTGCGCTAACCCTAATATAGGGACCGTAATTATTTGAACAGGGTTTTGGGATACTGTAATTATAACGGAGATCCGCAGAATAGTAGTGGTAAGTATCGAAGCCCCTGTACTACAAAGTTCATCTCCTAGGAGGCCAGGTTGAAGAGGTGTAGGGTGTAGGGCATAACTACGAATGATGATATAAGCCCTGCATGACCCATAATAAGGAATATAACATAATTCCCATAGCTTCGGGTCCTTAAGGTAATGCAGGATTTATATCATCAGCAGTAGGGCTCAGGGTTTCGATGATAGACCCCGACCTCTGATCGTATTCTCTAGACATTCTGCTGCATCAACTATTATCGGGGCCTGAACGAGCAGAGTAATTAGCATTTTCGGGTATAGGATGGTACCACCAAAGGAATAATATTGGTCATATTTTCGGCTTCTACATATTACCTGCCTGACCCAATCTGCCTTCGTTGAACGCACAATCTGGACTCTAAGTCCTTGTATACCACGATGAGACGGCAAGTTAAAACACCCAATGCAAAACTTCAATACCCCTACTCCAAGAACCGCTAAGCTGCAAGACCAACTACCGAACACACATCACCTCCCCTGAACCGCAACCCCTAAGCTTCAATAAACTCACAGAAATTGGAAAATTGCCTATACCCATAGGCTCCAGAGTCGTTCCTTTTGGGGAATACCTTCTAGGTTTCGAAATATGAACCCCGAAAAGGAACTACTATGGAGCCTATGGGTAGTACCTTCGGGAACCACCTAACTTTTCGAGGAGCAGGCCCACACTGAGCTTTTGAAAATTTCCCGTGGTGGTGGTGGTGCTGACCTGAAATGCAAGGGCCAGGGATTGAACGGATTCTTGCTTTGGGTTGAGGGTGTGGCTTGTCGGGCTTGCGGGAAAAGTTAAGGAATACGACACCTTCCCTAATGCCTCAAATCTTGCGCTTCATAGGTTGGGCATGCCCACTTACAGTAGTAGCTGCCATAAAGTACGGTTGTAGGTATACTCGGGCCCTATAGTAACCTTTTCTTTTCAATTAACAGACGGTTTGTCGGATCCCATCGATGTAGCGTATATACGAACTACCACGTTCCGTCCAATCGCTTAATTAGGCTGCTACATTGCATTACCAAGCCCGTGCTGGCCTTGTGCTGTGGTTTGGGCTCACCGGAAATCGTATAACTTGAGGATTCCTCCGGATGTTAGGGTTTAGGGTTGAGGTTTAGGGATTTAGCCAACTGAGAAAGTCCGTGGGATGGGAGTAGGACCTGTGAACCCTTAAGGGCCCCGCTATAAACTTGTGAAACTATAAATTCAGCAAGCCGACCCTAAACCCGGAACCGTAATCCCGCTCTGTCCGAACTCTCAAGAGGATCTCTGTCCAGGCTCAATGCCGGCTTATCAGCAAGACTTAAAGTAGACCCCAGGAATAGTAAGCCCTTCTGCCATAAAAAGGTTTATAATGTGGATCCTGATGTGACGCCCCTGAAAAGCAAGGGTTTGTTAGTCAGGGGTCTCCATTCGTCTTTAGGTTTGAGTCCGTTTCCTGAGCACACACACAACCCCCTCCGCAGAAGCAACAGAGTCCCCCAACTGCCGATGCTGAAACCTGAAGCCACAGCTTGGGACTTTAGGAGTCTCAGGTTTGTCTTCACGCTTTTAAGGTTTGGGGGGGGTTGCTGAATTCCACGGTGTACAAACAGGGCTGATGGCCTTGGGCTCATGGGCTTCAACGCCTGAACACTTGCTGTTGGGTGTTGAGGTACACCGTTACACTGTGTAGAGTTTAGGGTGTAGTGTAATGTATCATGCATAATATATAATAAGGAGCCCTACAGAAAAACATTGGTAACTCTTCGGGTAGTGCGACTCATTGGCTTTGCTCCCGAAGGGCTTTCAGCGTTCCCTCCAGCCCCAGGACGTTTTGGCCGCCGTACGCCGGGGCCACTAAGCAAGCGTGCCACTTGCTGTGTCCTGGCACGGCTTTCGGGCTTCTTCAGGGTGACGGGTCTTCCGAGAAAGCCTGTATAAATCCAAAACGAGCAGTGCCATCAATACTTGTGTCTGTCCTTCGCCTTTTTCTTGTTGAATACTTGGCTGTACAGCAGCCGAAGGAAGATCATGGAAGGCTCAAACACTCCTGTTCATGGGGCCTCCGGCAACAACAGCAGCAACAGCAATACAAGTAGGAGCAGGAACAGGAATGGGAACGCAACAACAACGCAACGCCAATGCCAACAGCCAAAAGCCCAGCGGAACGCTGCAGCTTGCCTTCGATTCTCTTCGAAAGTTCTCATGCAGGAAGCAGGAAGAGCTTCTGGCTTATAGGAACCTCTGACCCAAAACCGAGAAGAGCTGCACGTCAATGCTTAGAAGCCAGCTGGGGCTCGTCGAAAGATGGCGCATCTTTATGGTAACAACTGCAACGACACTCTGTCGAAAGCACTTCGCCGAAATCGGGCGATACCCCACGTCCAAAACATGTGCGGCAAGGATGTGAAGCCTATGTCTGTTGATGGGCGCACATGCATGATTTTCTGATTGTCAAGGACGGTCAGTATCTTTGTGCACAAACTCGACTGCGCCGGTGATGCACTGCCATGGGGCGGATGGTGACGATAAAGACGCTAGTGATGAAGACTGTTGTGATGATGATGACGATGATGATGGTGATGGCTATGGCGAAGAAGAGGACATGATCGATGAGGATGATGGCGACCATGGTGACGGCTTATTGCGGTTGGTAATGGAGCAGCATATCCATCTAGCAACATAGTGATAACTAGTACTGCTGTTGATGTTCACGATGATGCTAATGATCTGCTGCTCGTGCTAGTTTTGCTGCTAGTGACTTAGGAAATCTGCTGCTGCTCCATATGGAGAAATCGGAAGAGGGGAAGGACGATATCTTCGGCCAGCGCATCGGATCCCTGGATCCTCTTAGTGAGTCAGCTTCAATCTTCAAGCTTCAGGGTTTCAAGGTTAGGGGTGTCGGCGGCTAGGGTGTTTGGACTGGGGATACCCCGAAGTTGGTTGGGTGCATAATTAGGCGATACGACATCGAACCCCATGGACAAGTACATTGGACATGATTACAAGCTTGCCCCCTAAATTCTAAACCCCAAAAACCCTACCCCCCCAAACCCTAAACCCCAAAACTCTTACCCCCAAAACCCTAAACCCTTAACCCCCAAACCCGCTCGGTCCGTAGTGCCAGGTGAGGACATCGGAGAGAAATATGAGCCTTGGTGGGACGGCAAGGACCTAGGACCTAGTGTAGGCGCCTTGATAGGTACACTGATGTTTGGGGGTATATTATACTATAATCATAATGAGGAGCCCACAAGATAGTTTAGGTAATTGTTCAGGCCCCTATAGTGACACTTCCTCTGCTGCAGCCGCCGCTGGTATCTCCGATCTAGCGGCCAGCCGAAGCAATCCGAACCCCACACTGCATCTTAAAGTAAATCTCATCAGTGGTCTGGTAGCAGGGAGAAGGGACGTTTGCAATGCTCTTTGGGAATGGCTCTTCTTGTAGCTTTACGTCGTTAGCTTGCAAGGAACGCCCGATAGGTATATGCAAGCCGGAAAGAACATACGGTTGAAATCTTTCATGTAGAGCCCTGGTTAGTAAACTACCCTACGTCAAAAAGGGATCCGAACCAGTATTAGGGCATTTCAAGAAGGTCTCCAGCTTTGTAGAACCCTTTTAGGAACCCTTCTTTTCGGGCCTGGGGTACCGTCCCAGAACCCTAAACCCTAAACCCATGTTAGAGTTCTGCGAAGCTTGAGAGGCCCGACAGTCAGAACTGCCCTCGAAGTTTAATCGAAGCCCACCTTCAGCTTTGAGTCTCAGGGTTTCTAAACATTGTTCTATGATGTCTTAGGGGCTTTGGCTTTGGGGAGTAAGTAGGTTGTATGTTTTAAGGGTTTGGGGCTTTAGGAGAGCGCCCTTATGCGTCGATGCCAGGGGACATAACGAGACCTTGCACAATTAGGATGGCGTAATGAGCAATAACGGCTTTTGAATTTTTGTAGCGATCCGGACTTGAGGGGTTTAGTCGGACGTGCACCTCAAAACAAGGTTCAACAGCTCGGTTCGGCTTGCTTCCAGGTTCAGACAGCAGTTTCGGGCTTAGGGAAAACAGGGTTCGGGATCAGCCTTGAATGTGCATGACTAGCTCTTGGTGCAAAGGCTTGCAGCAACCTCTTCACTAACTGTTGAAGCTCTTTCATTCCAAAGCCATGAACTGAGCAGCAAAACTGTAGAACCCTCTTCTGCCCACCCTGAAAGCCGACAAGCATGCTTCAACACCATACTAGATCCTACAAACCCTCCACTAACATAGAATAACACAGTAACCCTAAACCCTGAACCCTAAAAACCCTAAACCCTAAACCCCCAACCCCAAACCTCTCTAAGAGTCGCCTTTCGGCTCAGCTCTGCCGTGCTGCATCAGATAGACGGGCGCCGCGATGGCAGCCGCACGCTTGGGCATGTGAAGCCTGAAAAACAAGAAGGCTGTTGAGGGGTTCAGCCTTTGCGGTTTGGGGGTTTAGGGTTTAAGGAAAACTGTGCACAAATGAAGAAACCGCAGAGAAACCCCTTTGCTTCATGCGCCATGTTGAAAGTCTGCACATATGAACCTAAGACCTAAGAAGTGTAAGAATCAACACTGGTCAATCAAGTCTTGTCTCGCAGGCTACATGGTATCTAAAGGAATTGCACAGTAAGGGCCAATCTAGTACCACTACTATAACAAGACAAGAGTTACTATGACACTCGAGCCTATGTACGTACTATAAAGCCTTCTCTAAGTGAGGGAATTCCTTGAGCTTTCGACTGGCAGGGTCCAGTCGGCCAGAATTGTTTTGTGCTACCGCGAAGAGGGTCCGTGCAAGCTTCTGTTGAACTCTGGCAATACTGTAATAGTCGGAAAGTATACCTCGAAGTAAGCATGTTATACCAGGCCACGGGAAATTGATGCCTGAACTCTCATGCCATCCCTGACGCCAGAGACTTTTAGAGCATTGGACAAGTCCGCCGAGTTGCTGCAAAGCTCGCATGAAGCAAACACCGCCCAGATTGCCTGCCACGGTGATGACATCATCACTAGCCCCCCGTTTCGGTAAGATGTTCCATCCATGCTACGGCTACTACGACGACGAGAGCCACGACGAACAACGACGACGACGGCAACCGTCACAACCAACACTACTTCGCGCTTGTACCTGTCCGGCTTCAGTGTCGTTGCGCTCGCATAGCAAGACTCTGTGCTTGGCAATTCCACTTTGGGTCTACTTTCAACCAAAGGAATCGCTTGAAGGTTTCTACGGCTGTGGTTTGGCAGAAGTTGAGATTTCTTCCTGCAGTGTTGAGGCCCCGAAACCTCCGGCATGACGACTTTTGCGCCAGGGTGCAGAGGATCACAGATATGTAGAAGAGAGCATCGGCATAGCCATGTTTTGCCACGCCACTGCCCATCCTTCAGGCCAGCGAAGGCTAAGGGCTCTGGTTGCAAGACGGCTTAGGGTTTCAGTGCTCGGCCTTTTGTACCTTTCCTAAGACTACTCATCCAGATGGATGGTGCTTTCTCTCGGCTGTAGGTGTCGACAGGGCTTCTAAGTGCCGTGTTCTGGTGTGGGCTCAGACGCTCGGACTTTGCACGAGCTGTCGGCACTGGCAACAGCTCGGACCTGTTACGGCAAGCATGGCTGGTCCTCAAGTCCAGGGTTTCTTCCATTTGAGGTTATGTCGGCTTCAGGTGGGCAAGTGCCATGTAAGATCCCGTAACGGCGTTTTATCTTTGAAGTTGTCCTTGTATTCGTGCGAAGCAGTAGAAGGCAACTGCTGGTAGATGTGTAACACTAGTTAGATTTGTAGCACTAGTAGTAGCAATGGAACAAGCATGGTAGCAGCAGCAGTGTGGCCGAAACAGTAGTGATATATACGCACCTGCCCATGCCGATTGACCTGCATAGGTTGAACTACCCATAGGCCCCATAGTAGTTCCCTTTTGGGATTACCTTATAGAACTCAAGATATAAACCCCCCAAAAAGGAACTACTATGGGGCCTATGGGTAGTGGTCACCGGTTCCACAAAGCCCCAGGCAAGGCTCTTGATCAAGTTGCCGGTGAGCATCCCAACAAAGCAGCTGTACCTCAGCTGCGAACCACAACTGGGTTTAGGGTTTACCTGGACCCCAAAAGTATGTAGAACAATAGCCCCTATAGGGTTTTGGGCCATTATTTAACCTACTTTGGGGGTTTAGGTAGGAGTTTAGGGGTTTGGGGTCGATGCGGTATGTGAGATTGAGAAAAGCCTTGGGTACAATCGAGCTTCAAGCAAACCTCTCGGGTCGCTCTCAGAGGGGTGTGGAACCTGCCAACACCTGTGCGTGTTAGGCCTGCGGCGAACTTCGTTGAAAGCTTTCTTGAAGACTAAGGGGCTGGAAATGCAAAGTTTGATTCTTGCACGTAGGGTTTAGGGCGTTAGGATTTCGGGCTTCAGGGTTTAAGACCTCGTGGCATAAAACTTTCATCGAAGGATCTTGGCGCCTTTTAAAGCTCGAGGATTGAAGGCCGAGGGTTTAGGAGCCTCAGTGCGATGATGGTGTGGGTTAGGGACATGACGCACTGAAGATGCCGTACGAGGAGGAAGCTTCGAATCGAAACTTAAAAGCACAAGCCCAATAAACATGAGCTACTGAGGCCCACCCCTTCATGAAGTTACCATCACGAGGTTGATGTTGAGGTGCCTGTTGTGGCGCCCTCAATCCTGAACTCTACTGTACCCAGTCATGGTCCAGGTTGCTCCGTCACGCAGATAACATCCGCCCAGCCTATAGCATCGGAAACTCGGGGGGGTGGGAAGGAGGGGGGGGGGTGTAGCCAACCCTTAAACACGTGCACAAAAGCGTTCCGACAAGCATCTGAGTGTTTCTATGCGGCCCCAGACCCTTTGAAGAGCCGAAGCTTCGAGTTTGTCGGGCCGGGATCGGTGATCAGGGTCGTCTTAAGGGTTTGTTCCGGGTGTAGGGGCCTTTTGGTAGCCCCGAACCCTGAAAAAAACGCCGATTTGCGGGTTCGGGCTTAGGATTTAGGATTTAGGATTTGGCATATCTCTCACTGGTGCACACCTTGTGGTCGGCTGGTGTGAAAACCTGGTGCGCCAATGTTCCAGATCGGGAAACGTTCGTAGTCAGTTAGTGGTGGGCGTGTTACCGGATGCCATTCCCGGCTTGATGTCATGCCTACATACAGCCCTTGGCTTGCAACTACTAGCTTGAACCGAACTAAAGCGCTCGCACTGTACCCCATTGCTACTTATGGCTAAGGAGGTCATTGGAAACCCTGAACTCTAAACTCGATGGTACACCCCTCAAAGCCTTACATCCACCCCGAAACCCCAAACACTACACCCCGTTTAAACCTTCTCCCAGGAGGAAACCCCTAGACCCTAAACCCCCAAACCCTAAACCCGAAACCCTAAACCCCTAAACCCTAAACTCCCAAACTTTAAACTTTGTTGCAGGAGGGCGTCCCGTGGTTAGAGCGAGCCCAGCAGCCAGGGCGCACCGACGGAACATATCAGCCATGGCCCAGGAGGCCAGGGTTCAGAGTTAAGGGTTTGGAGGGTTTTGGTTTTAGGAGTTGAAGGTTGTTTAGGGTTTAGGGGTTTAGAGTGTTTAGGGTTTTAGGGTTTTGACGGTTTCGGGGTTTGGGGCGCTTTGTTGAAGACTCTTTGGTGGAGTTCTTGGGGGAAGATATGGGGTTTTCAGCTGGCGGGGGGCCCTGAACCCCGAAACCGCGCTCTACGGGGCATTACGTTGGGTTAGACTCCCTTTTTTGTTGATTACGGTCGGCGGGTTCAGGGTTTCGGGTTTCTTCAAGTTTCTTCAAGGGCTTGCCCTAAACGCTTAGCCTCTTCGTTAAAAACTTCGTCAAGCAGGAACCCCGAGCTTTGAAGCTGCAGGGCCCCTGAGGGTCGTTCGTCTTTTCGGTCTTGGGAGCTCGGATGAGTATGGTCTATACCCATGGGCCCCATAGTTGTTCCTTTTTGGGTTTACCTTATAGAATTCTAAATAGGGACTACTATGGGGCCTATGATGGGTAACTTATGAGGATGTTTATAAGGGTTTGAGACACGATTAGCGCCAAGCTGGCACCTTAATTTTTAAGGCTTGCAGCGCTTTGAAAACCGGGTTCAAGCTTTGAGCTTCGCACCTGTAATGTTTAAGGCTTGCAGCGTTTTGAATTTCGGGGTTCAAGCTTTGAGCTTCGCAGCCAGCGACAAGCAAGCATTCAAGGACAAAGCGCCACAGCATCTTGAACGGAAATTCGGCTCAAATATTCAACCCTGAACCCTATAAAGCCTCAACCACCTCAAAGCTTTAAGGCCCAAAAGATGCAAGAGGCGCCGCGATCCGCACCTTCTCGTCCTTGTCGGAGCAAGTGTCCAGCCTGAAGTCGCAAGGCAGAGAGGGCAGTGGGTTTTCCCGGTCAGAGAAGGGAGGTTTAGGGGTTTAGGGTTTAGGGGTTTAGGGGTTTAGGGTTTAGGGGTTTAGGGTTTAGGGGTTTAGGGTTTAGGGTAGCATGCTTGGGGGCATCCTTGCATCAGGATCCTGCAATTCAGGGCTGAAACTTGTAAGAAGTTGAAAGCAGAGCAAGGGAAAACAAAGGTTGGACGAAGCCGGGGGATGCGTGGTTCCGTATGCCAAGACAGGCAAGTGCTGGTCTGACTGAATACTAAAGGGGCGGGGGGGGGGGGTATATATATATATATATATATGTATATATATATATATATATATATCAGAGTGGCTACCGAGGAAGGAGGAAGTACATAAGCTAGGGGTCCAATATGTATCTTACCATTCAGACATCTATACTAACCCCAAGTCTAAAGCCTCGACATCCTGAACCCTTGGAAGATGCTGCGTCGAAGGGCGCTTGAGGCCCAACTTGGCCCTGCAACTACTTGCAGGGCTTGGGGTTTTGCTTGACGCGCGGGAGTGAGTTGACCGCTTGAAGCTACGGCGCGCCGAGCTTCCTTTCCATTACCCACAGGAATTACCCACATTAGGATCCCGTTTTGGGTCCCTATATAGTACGGCACCGAATATTTAGAGTACCCAAAAAGGGACCATAATTTTGACAACCACCCATGTAGGATCTAGGGCGTTTGGTATGCGTTGTGAACTGAAGGTTTATCGGGTTTGGGGCTCGGGTTTAACTACGGCTTGAGGCTAAGATGTCCGGTCTACGGCTTAAGGTTTACCGTTTTAGGTTTGGGGTCCTTGTGCACCGAACGGAAATCGCACGAGCGAAAACAGCCATAACCCAACCCTAGGCCCGCGAAGCCAAACATGTCGGCGGTTCATGACTGTTCATCTCGAAACCCTACACCCTGATCTGGGTTCTTGTTACGGACTGTTACCACAGGAGGTGAATGACATAACTGTCTTCGTATGATAGCTTCGATTCGCTCCGGAACAGATTCCAGCGATCCCGCACCCCCCAAACACTCCAAAATCACGGGTGTTGGCAAGTTGGGCGAAGGAAGCAGGAGGGTCCACATATACTACTGTTGGGAATCGAGCCCCCCCAGCCAGAACCCCAGAACCATTATAAGGATGGTCTTGTGGGACCTAAGACTAGCCGAAACCCCACATCCTAATCCCTAAATCCTTATCTGGGAAGCAACGGTGCTGCGAGCATTGCCTCACGGTGCCCTTTTCCGCTCTCGACAGGCAGCGCCTCGGCTTGAACAACGATGGCTTCGGGGTGATATGTATGTATGCATGTACGTATGTGTGCATGTGTATGCTTGTATGTATGTGTGTACATATATATATATATATAGATTTATTAATGTCTGTCTTTCTTTATGAACTCATGTTATGCATTGATCACGTGGTTGCATCATGTTTTGGTGTAGAGGGGCTTAGGGTTTGGAAGAGGCTCGGGGTTTGACCTTGTTGAGTCTGGCGTTGTGGTTGGTCACAGAATTCGAGGTGCAAGATTGAAGACCTGACCCCTAAACCCTAAACCTGAACCCTATACCCTATAGACCCTGAACTCCAGACCCTGAACCATACATCCCAAACCCCCAGACCCAAGGATGGCCTCTGGCTTTGGTGAGTGCCGACGGTGTATCGTTGGCATGTACATGAACCGCCGTGTAGGGTTTCAGGGTTCTAGGCTTTGGCTTTTGGGTTTTGGTATTCGGGATTAGGATTTCGGACCTTGGGGTGGTCGTTGTAACTTTTAGGGTCTTGGATGTTGAGTTCGGCATTCTTGGGTTCCGGACGATGAGTTCAGTTTCCCGGTGGCAAATGCGCAGGAGTTTGAGCTCAATGGCCATGATGCTCCCCGGGATACACCCAAGGGGACCCAACCCTTAATCATGCCCCAAAACCTGCAGCCCAACAAACGCACAGGTGCAAGCAGAATGAGCCTGATTGACTACTCACCCGTAAGTAAGCATTGTCACAATCAGAAAGATGTAGTCACAGTCACAACATCACCCCGGTCAGCTAAGACTCTTGACAGCATGCAAAAGCCCTTGAAGCATTCATGGCTCATAGAGTCCATCGCGATTCAACATCCCCGCGCTTAGTGCCCGGCGCGTACATCGAGAGCGGAATGCGGATCATGCCTGCTCTCCGGGGTCTAAACCCCAAACCCTCAACCCTAAACTGCAATCGCCAAAACACCTCTCCGGTACGCAGTGCACAACAACATCGAAAAAACACAAGAGAACACCTTTGTAGGAGGTTTTGGAGTCAGCATGCTCAGTAAACGCTCTTTGGGCTTTTTTTGGCAGGACCTTCTTCGTGCGTCCCGAGGGTCTATAGTGTATAGGGTTTCGAATGCAGGGTTTAGGCTTCAAACATTGGCGTCCAGGATGTTAACGCTCGTCCCCCCACTCTGGCCCCGGCGCCCTCTGAACGATTCGATGCGAGGATTTTGCGTCAGGCGTGTTTGTTTGAACCCGGGGCGCCAAGTGCTTGCGGGCTCTTGGAAAAGAATCCCAGGCTTATGAAGCCTGCACAGGTCGCTGCCTCTTCAGCTAGTTTTATGGAGCAAAGCCTCCTATTTCTCATCCCGAGTTCCTTCTAAACCCGAAACTCGTGAATTATCATCTCCTTCTGGGCACCTTTACCCGGCGGGCTCGCAGCTTCGATTCAGAGTCCTAATCTTCCTCCGTACTGGTTTTACACCTCAGCCCACCAGGACATACTCTTCTCTAAATGCCAAATATACTCCTTGGTTTAGGGTTTAGGGTATAGGGTTTAGGGTATAGATATAGAATATAGAATTTTAAAGGGACCTTACACAAAGTACACGACACTAGGTTTTCTTCTCATTGTGCTAAGGCACACCTCACAGATCTCAAGGCTCTTGCGCAGCCCTAAACCCTCAACCCTAACCCCTACACCCTAAACCCTAACCCCTGAACCCTAAACCCCAACCCCTGAACCCTAACCACCAACCCCTAACCCTACACCCTAACCCCCAACCCCTAAACCGCCCGGCTCCCAGGCCTTGGGCCCGAGGGTCGCCAAATGGGGTTTGTAGCAAGGGTCAGAATGATTGCCACGATAATTCCCCAGGATTCTTGGGGTCCTTGGTATGATTATAATATTTCTGAAAGAACGCTACTTTATTAGGGCCCCTGTATTGCTCTAGGGCTCGAAATGGCCCCAAAAGCCTTATACAATATAGTTTTTGGCCCCGAAAGCCTTTGTTTCTGAGTCCTTAGTAGCACTAGAATTGTCCTAAGTCACCCCTCACCCTAAACCCTATACCCTAAACCTGTACCCTAAACCCTATACCCTAAACTCTAAACCCTTCGGAGATCAGGGCAGCAGCCTTGGCCGTCGATCACAAGGCCTGGAAGCAGGGCCCGCGGCTTCAGGGTTTGCCCAGTTGGATCCTCAAAGCCTGGACACATAGCCTTTCCTTAGGGTTCCTGTAAAGTTGCCTACAGGGGCTACTATAAGGTGTCTATAAGGGTTCTACGATCTAAGGGCCGAAACAATTACCACTACTATTCTGGGGGTTCCTTCTCATAATTATACTGGCCCCAAAACCCTACTCCAATTACTGAGGCCCCTATATTAGCCCTGACAAACAAGCCCCAGACCTGAGATCTAGACATTGAGCCCTAAACCTCTACAGCCAAGCCCTATACCCAAGATCAGAAACGCAGCGGGGCTGGAAGTTTTGACAATCTAGGGTATGTTTCCTCTCCCTTTTTGGATGGGAGAGGTGCTCATGATAAGGATCCTATGATCGAAATCTAGGATTCTATCTGAGGTCCCCAGCAACTCCTGTAGGTTGAGGCCGCAATACCAACCTGAGCCGCGCGCCTCCTTGAACGTAGCAAACATTGAAACCCCCACACTCTAAGCCCCAAACAATCTCCCTATCTAGATCCCGTCCGTAGAATTTCGAACCCCACCAAGCACGTGCTATGCCGGGCTCCTCCCACACCGACAGGGTGAAAGGCTCTACGTATGCCAGACCTGCAGTATGTCATTTGTTTCGCTGGGGCTTGAAGCTACATGAGTCTAGGAGTTGAGTCCCCTGAGCTAAGAAAGCCCTCATCCCCGCCCCGCCTTGGGTGCCGTGTTGACCATGGCACGGGTACAATCCCGGCCTCGTATTGGGGAGCCCCAGATGTGACGGGAATGGGAATTTTGAACCTAAATTAGCAGGATTCCTAGTTGTAAGGATCCCCAATGGAAAGTACCTGAAATTCCTCACGAGCTTCGTGTTTGGGGTCAAGTGCTAGACTTACCGAGGCAAAAACGGTTCAAGCTTAGACATCAAGGCTGCTAAAGCAGGGCTGTCCAAGCAGTTCCAGTTCCTCCGAGGGTCACAAAGCAATCCCCTTTCTTTAGAGCTAGGATCAAAGGGGAAAAGGAGGGACCCTTAATGGGGATCCCTACCCTATAATGGGCTATATAATGGGTATATACTGGCTATGTTAAGGGTATATACCTAGGGGTCCTTATTACGGGTCCCTCCTTTTACCCTTGGATAGGAGGCTATGCCAGGCCGATGGGATGTATGGATGCGTTGGCTCCACACCATTCAAGACAGGCTCCACAAAAAGCTCGTAACCCACCTAGTTGGCCAAGTCGGTGGCAAGAAACAGGCGGCACTCCAGAGTCGTACTGCTGATGGGCAAGATGCTGCACTACCGTAACTACCGAACACTGTGGGAACTGTTACCATTGCCACTAGTACAGCTGCCTCTGCCACTGCCACCACCTACTACTACGACAACGCGAGTGGGGCGCCTTTCGCCGCCCAAGGTGTCGAAGCAGGCGTTCAGAAGCCCGTTCCTCGAATGCCGCTGGGCTAAGGGTTCCTGGAGTTTCGGCCATACCTGGACCGCATAAGTGTATGTATATATATATATATATATATAGAATAATAGCATTTTATAGGTTTTGGGCCATTATTTTACCTACTTTTGGTGGTCTAGGTACGGGTAGTTGTCAAAACTATGGCCCCTTTGGGGGGTCCATATTATAGTACGTCACCTAAGATTTAGGGTACCCAAAAAGCGACCATAATGTTGATAACCCCCCATATGCCTCGAACCTCAAAGCCCTTAAAGCCAAAAAAGCCTTCAAAAACCGAATCCGAAAGCCCGAAAGCCGGAGCTCGTAAGATGGCAAAAAACCAAGCCCTGGAAACCTGATTGGGGGTTTCCGAAAATAAGGGACCCTAATATAGTACCCGAAATAGTAGGATCTAAAATAAGGTACCCCAATTCTCGGAAACTCCCTTAGGTTTAGGGTTTATATGGTTTGGGTTTAGCAAAAACCCGAAATCCCGAACCGAAGCCCAAATCCTGATTTCGAAGCACCCCAAACCCGAAAACCCCGAACTCTGAACCGCAAACCCTAAACCCGCAAACCCTCGGCGACCAGTTCCCTAGCCCCCTGCAGCCCTCAAACATCGAAGTCTAAACTCGCGGAAGCCCTTAAATATCTCGTCTAGCACTGCACGACAAAATCCCTGAAGCCCTGCATCACAAACTCCAAACCCTGAGCCCTATAGACCTTAAACCCTCAAAGCACCTCAAAAGCCCCAAATCCTTCGAGGCCTGCTTCCTCCCGAAACCCCGCAAGCCTACACCCCCAATCTTAAAGTAGGGTTTAGGGTTTAGGGTTTAGGGGTAGAGTTTAGGGTTTAGGGTTTAGGGGTTAGGGTTTAGGGGTTTAGGGTTTAAGGAGGGTTTAGTGTTCAAAACAACTCTCCAGCACTGCACCCAAAACCCTAAGGCTGAAGGCCCCCCAAATGGCATCCCCCCAAAAAAGCGGGCCCTAAATTCTACATCTATACCCAATAAACCCTTATGTAGTTGATCCACAAGTGATTCGCTACTGGGTTGTCCCAAGACTGCCTCAATAAACCCTGCCTGGGGATCCGAAACCCTACCGTCTTATTTTACCCTCTAATTAAGGGGTCATAACCTACTATTTTGTAAGGTTTGGGGTCACATGTAAGCTTTGAACCGTCTGAACCCCTAAACCCTAAGCTCTGAACTCCTTCCTAAACCCTAAACCCTAAATCCCACCGAGAAAAGCCGGGCCCCCGCGCTTCAGAGCTCCGGCTCTCAACCCTTCCACCTTTGGGACCTGAAACGGAAGCCGGGTCTGGCGGTTTGGGGCTAATTAAGGCAAAATTTAGGATTTTTTTTTTTTAAGGGCCTCTTTTCGGGGCTAATTAGGGCAAAATTTAGGGTTAGGGTTCAGGGTTTAGGATGAGAGATTGAATTTTTTTGAGGGCCTTTTTCCAACTGTACTGGGAGACTGAGGGTTTAGGGTTCAGAGTGTAAGGTTTGGGGCTATCTAGGGTTAGAGATAGGGTTTAGGGTTCAGGTGTAAGGTTTGGAGGGTTGGAGATTAAGGGTTCATAGGGTTCAGAACGTAAGGTTAAGGGTTTAGGCTTCCAGGTTCAGGGCGTCGGGGCCTTGGCAATCAGACGAGGGAACCTTGAGGGCTCAGAGCATGGACTTTGAAGTAACCAGGGGGAAAAAATACAGACGTTTATTTCATAATGGTTCCTTTAAGGGACAGGTACCAAAAAAAGTATTCAAGTATGGTACTTGCACTTCTTCAAGAAGCACCAACGCGTTGCGGAGTACAGGAACTACATGGAGGGCTCCGTCTGCTCTGCCTGCCAGAAACAGTTCTGGAGTGGGGGTCGACTGGCAGCTCACCTACGCGCATCACCCCTTTGCGTCAGCTGGCTACGGCGACAAGGAAGGGCCACAGAGACCCTGCAGCCGGGGTTTGGCAGCCGAAAATTCAGGCAACAGGAAATCGAGCAGTTCACACCCGCGATCCCCCAGGCTCTCGGCGCACCGGGGAGAGATGATGGTGAGACCACGTGAGTACGGACCCACCAAAAGTTCTACGAGGCTGTGTGACGCGGCATTCCAAGCTCGCTCCGGCGCGGAGTTTGCCACGAGCCTCCAGGCCATCATGACGGATTTCCCGGTCTACCCGGACGAGATTTGCTCGCTGGAGATCTCGCCGGCATCTTCCTTCAAAGCTTGCAGGAAAAGGTCGCTGTTCTTGACATCGGCGAAGAAGTCGCCATCCAACTTACGGGCATAGAAATCAGAGCTCTGAGCATCCACTAGTCCATACGGCCAATGCTGATTTGCGCCCACCTCAGGGAAAATAAAATCACGACTCCAATGCCCTAACCCTTTGAGTTTGACCCTGCGTTGCCTTGCGCAACACGCACGTCTTGACAATGCTAGAACGGCGCAAGGAGGTCTGAACCCGAAGTGCCGGAAAGGGAGCAGCCACGAAGTTATGGTGCACTACATGTGCCAGAGCAACCAGCACGAGCAGCGCTGTTGAGCAGCGAGTATTTGGGTGCACCATGGCACAGGTGTTTAGGGTTTAGGGTTTAGGGTTTGTGGTTTGGGTTCTGTTCCAGCTTCTGCCGTAACATGAATGAGAACAACAACTGCGTCTATCAAGGGCCAATGCAACTCCTGAAAGGCTGCAGCCGGAACTGCACGGTGTAAGCAATGGTGTCGCCTTCAAATCACAGGAATCGCCAAAGCTTCACAAACGTGGCAGGCGCACCGTCTCATAGACGAACTCGCCGTTGTCGTCGTTTCCCAGTTCAGGGTTATGGTCTTTTGGGTTTTCTCTATTAGGGTCTTACCCCAAACCTCATATTAGGATATTGGTTTGGGTTTTGGGTTGTGTTTTGGATGATTGTATTGGTTTGGCAGGTTGCTTTGTTTCGGGATTATTGTATTGATTGTTGGGAGGTGCTTTGTTTTTTGTGGGATTTAAGGGTTGAAATGTTAGGCAGGTTGAGAAATGGGTTGAAAGCGTAGGGGGGGGTATAGCATGTGAGGTGTGGGGTTAGCCTATGCTTGCTCCTCAATCATTAGAATAGGGTTTTGGGGTCCATCATAATGTATTTATAGTAAGGAACCCTCAAAATAGTATAGGTACTTATTGAAGCCCCTATATTACGAAGGGTCCTTCGAAAGAGCTTTGCTAATCACTCAGGCCCCGAAGATGGAAGGCCTCAGAACTCTCCATGTAGGGAGTTATGAAAGGGCGCAGAGTTGTAAGGTTCAGGGCTTAAGTAGAATTCTAAGGCGCCCCGGGATCTAGCACTTTGCCTTTAGGGCTCCAAGCCCAAAGCCCTAAGCGCTACTCCCTGAACAGCCCCAGGCCAGAAACTCTAAACTTAAGCGTTAAACTATATTGAACTTAGACCCCGGTTATAGGAATCAAAAGTTAACAACTATTTCCAAGTACCCCTAAGCAAACCTTGACCGTTTAAACTTTTTAGTTCGAGTCTGTCATTTTTAAGAAGAGCGATAAGAAGAAACACTGTTAGAATAGCTCACTCTGGCTTTGGATGGGTACCGCAAATTTCGGCAACAGACATTCAAGACGTCAAGGGTCGGAATGCGCCTACACGCCGTAAACTCAAAGCCCCTCAACACCGACCCACGAAACCCCAAAGCCGAAACCATAGTCTCAAGAGGCGTGCTGGGGCAAAAGCATAGATATCTTTGGCCACGGTCTTCAAGTACCAGCGAAACGGCTTGCACCTCGGGAAGGGGAACAACTCCTGAGCTGTTCTTCCATTAGAAATGAAGACTGATTCTGAAGGAACACCGAGCCCAAAGCTACGACCACTTTCAATCCCACACCCCAAAGCTCCGAAGTGCAAATGCCGAAACCCACCCTAAAGCTGAAACGCTGCGGGCACTGCAGGCAAGCGCGCAGCTCCAGGGCCTTACAATACCTGGACCCTAAGGAACCTACCTTTTTAGTGCCCCGTAATAAGATTTCTTTATATAAGTTCATAAGAAGGTAGGTTCCTCAGGGTCCAGGTAGGGATCAAAAGCATCCAAGATGCTAACAAGCAGCTAGATTTACCCATGGGCCCCATAGTAGTTCCTGTTGGGGGTCCATATTTAGAATTCTATAAGGTAGTCCCAAGAAGGAACTACTATGGGGCCTATGGGTAGATCCTAAAAAGAGGTAAAAAGGCTTGTAGAGATCAGGGTGCAGGGTTTAGCGGGAAGCCTTCGAGCTACGATTCTTGCCATGATGACTACGAGCAGGTGGAAAGTTTGGGATCCCTCAGGACTATGGCAACAGGATCCTACTATGGTGTATATCCTAGACTAAACCCTGCACATCAAACCCTTAATCGTCTAAAGCCCGTATACAACCCAATCATTCAATCCTACAGACTAGACAGTTTAGGGTTTAGGGTTTAGGGTTTGACAGAAGCCCGAAACCTGACACCTGAAACTCTTGGCCTTCTACGATATACGCCCTCAACTCGAAGTTCGAAGCCTTATACAGGCACCCGAAGCTCGAAAGCCTCAGCCCTACATGGGTGGTTGTTAAAATTAAGAGTCCCTTTTTGGGGTCCCTATTATGATACGGCACCTATTATTTAGGGTACCCAAAAAGGGGCCATAATTTTGACAACTACCCACATAAGTTAAGCCCTACACGCCCTAAACTCCCAAGGCTGGGTTCGAGGCTGAAGCTTCCGCCGCAGCTCAATGCGAGGTGAGAGGTCCTCGGAAGTCGAAAATCAAAGGGGGAAAGGAGGGACCCTTCATGGGGACCCCTACCCCATAATGGGCTAAAAAATGGGTATATAATAGCTATATTAAGGGTATATAGGGGTCCTTATTAAGGGTCCCTCCTTTTACGCTTGGAGAAAAGGCTTCGAGAGTTTATAGGGCTGAGGACATAGTTAGCCTTCGGAGGGGCTTGCGAGCTCTGGGGCCTAGAATTTTGAGCGCAAGGGATTTTGGAAGGTCTGCCCAAAGGCCCCAAAGTAGTTCCTTTTTGGGGCTCATATATAGAATCCCATAGGGTAACCCCAAAAAGGAACTACTTTGGGGCCTCTGGGTGGGCTCCTTGGGCCTCCCGACCCCGAGAGTGGTATCTTGCGGCAGCGGCGGCGAGGCGTAGCGAACGAGGGGCTCCTATCAAAGGGCTATTCGGTTTAGGGTTTTGTTCAGGGGAACTCCCAGCAAAGGGCTTTTCGGTTTAGGGCTTAATCAGGGGAACTCCTAGCAAAGGTTCTTTTTTGGGTTCAGGGTTTAGAGTTCACGGTTCAGGGCTTGGGAGTCTAGGGTTCAGGGTGTGGGGCAGTGTAGGGGCCTTAATGATTCGAAAACGGGGGGTTTGTGAAAACCTAATGCGGAACCCTAAACACCGAACTGCTCAGGCATCTGAATCATAGACTTTAGTGAGTCAAGGCAGTAGTCCAGGGTTTAGGGTTTGGGCTTTATTGGGTTTCGGGTTGTGTGCCTGGGCGTAGAGGTTTAGGATTTGTTTGTTTGTCCGGACGGCTGGACTTCCCAGAATGGTGACATTGTCTGGCAAGAGGTCGTCTCTAGGCACGTTAATATAGGGGCCTAAATAGTTACCTATAGGGTTCCAAGGGTTCCTTTCAAGGGGTCTATAAGGATTCCTGTGAGGGCAATTACACGGCTTTAGTATAGGGGCCTAAATTTGTTGCCAATGGGGGCTCCTTGTTACAGCTATAGTATAATGGGCCCCCCAAACCATATTCTAATTTCAGGCCCTTTTATTACACGGCCTTTGCGGATTTTGGTTGGATATGAGCGCAAGAGCTTGTCGACGCTTATACTTCTTGCATTCAACTATTTTGTCGTTCTGATGATTGTCACGGGCCCTTACTGTTGCCGGCAATGCTCGCTCAAGGTAAGATTCGTTGCGTTGCCGTGGTGATTGCACTTGTTGCCCGGATCATCATAATCCACTACAATCTGGCCAGGAATTCATACCCCTTAAGGCGGCGAATATAATGTACCTTCAAGCATAAAACCACGCCGAAAAGATGTCAAGCTATGTGCATGAGCTTGGGGGGGGGTACAGTTGAGATACCCGGGAAGCACCCGATCTGCGTTGTAGAACCCTGTTGGAGCCACGCAGACTCCTTTTCCAAACCTGCTATACTACTGTACCTGTGCTGAAGTCCTACGAACATTCCTTCCACCTAAACCCTAAACCCTTTCAAATAAGATAAAACTCCACACTTTCAGTCAGCAACGTGCCAGGGATGCGAACTCATCCATCCACACCTTGGAATGGACTTCATCATTAAAGTTTAGGCCTTGAGAGTTGGTGCTCGGGGGGTGTATGGTCCCGGTTTGGAGTGATTTAAGGCTTTTGGGCTGTAGGGGTTAAGGGATTTGTGGACTTAGGGTTGATGGGTTGCGGTTTCGTGAATTCAGGGCGGTTTTGAGCGTTGGAGGAGGTCAGGTCTGCGGTTTGGACTTTAGGATTTTTTGGCATTTGCTGCTTTGAGATTGGTGTCTTCTTGTGATGTGGTGCTTTCGGAGCAAAGCTCGCGGCTGGGTTGAAAGGTCAGGGTCGTACTCAAACCTCACGACACGCCTCGACGATCTACTACCTCCGTGCTACCACCTCCGCGGCTGCTGCTGCTCCTTTTGCGACGACTGTAGCTACGACGACAACAACAACTAGTAGTAGTAGTAGTAGTAGTAGTAGTAGTAGTAGTAGTAGTAGTAGTAGTAGTAGTAGTAGTAGTAGTAGTAGTAGTAGTAGTAGTAGTAGTAGTAGTAGTAGTACTACTACTACTCCTACTACTACTACTACTACTACTACTACTACTACTACTTAACTACTACTACTACTACTACTACTACTACTACTACTACTACTACTACTACTACTACTACTACTACTACTACTACTACTACTACTACTAGTTGTTGTTGTCGTCGTAGCTACAGTCGTCGCAAAAGGAGCAGCAGCAGCCGCGGAGGTGGTAGCACGGAGGTAGTAGATCGTCGAGGCGTGTCGTGAGGTTTGAGTACGACCCTGACCTTTCAACCCAGCCGCGAGCTTTGCTCCGAAAGCACCACATCACAAGAAGACACCAATCTCAAAGCAGCAAATGCCAAAAAATCCTAAAGTCCAAACCGCAGACCTGACCTCCTCCAACGCTCAAAACCGCCCTGAATTCACGAAACCGCAACCCATCAACCCTAAGTCCACAAATCCCTTAACCCCTACAGCCCAAAAGCCTTAAATCACTCCAAACCGGGACCATACACCCCCCGAGCACCAACTCTCAAGGCCTAAACTTTAATGATGAAGTCCATTCCAAGGTGTGGATGGATGAGTTCGCATCCCTGGCACGTTGCTGACTGAAAGTGTGGAGTTTTATCTTATTTGAAAGGGTTTAGGGTTTAGGTGGAAGGAATGTTCGTAGGACTTCAGCACAGGTACAGTAGTATAGCAGGTTTGGAAAAGGAGTCTGCGTGGCTCCAACAGGGTTCTACAACGCAGATCGGGTGCTTCCCGGGTATCTCAACTGTACCCCCCCC